AGAGAGAGAGAGAGAGAGAGAGAGAGAGAGAGAGAGAGAGAGAGAGAGAGAGAGAGAGAGAGAGAGAGAGAGAGAGCTCTTCTGTCTGTTGCTCATACTGCCCACACACTTCACATTCTTCTCCACAGAAAGTGTTTTAGGACAGCAGAGAGGGTCAGAGGTGTGATGGAGAATCTATTCTAAGAAATCAGCTGTTTCTCACTGTTTTGGAGCAAATCTATATCATCCTGTAGATGAAACCTACATTTGTATCAGTGTGAGGTTACAGGGTTATTGATCAAAACAGTGACCAAAACACTGCTTAGCAAGTAGCTGAGATTCCTGACTTAGAAAAACTTTCCAGCAAAAAAAATAAAAACAGGTTAGGGTTAGGGTTACCTCAGTCACACTTGAAGGACTTGTATTAAAACTTGCAGAGAGTAATCATTAAATGTACATTTACAACATTTATCATTTGCCTTTGTTTAAAGCTTTAGCATTAACTATTGGAGCCAGTCCTGTTTGTTTGTTTGTTTGTTTGCAAAATATATTAACCCTAAACAGATTTTATGAAAATTAAAATGTATATCTGATTATCATTTGAAGTTAGTCCAAGTCAAGATGTCCACCAGAACTAATTGAGTTTAGACAATACAAAATGAACACTTTTATTGAATGTGTGAAATTATTTTATATATGAAATATTAGGTTTATTATGTTTCAAGTTAAATGATGACCTTAATACAACAACAACAAATATAACTGAAATAACCATGTATGTGAAATTAAATAATCACAATGACCAAATTTACACATTTAAACTTAATTATGAAGCTCTCTGAAGTTTGATTTAGCTTGTATCTACAATAATCCTTTGCCACAAAAAATTATTTTAACTCAGCAGTTCTTTAATTCTGAATCTGTCATCTGAGTAGAACGTCCAACAGGAAAAAAAAAAAAAAAGGAAGGGAAAAAAGTCAATTTAAACAGGAAAATGAATTCTAACACAGCTTTGAGGAATATTCTGACCTGAGCCAGCTGACATTCTGGGTTTTTATTTAAAAGTTAGAKAACTTAAAGAGGAACTTACCCCAAAATCAACTTTTTTTGCAAATAAACTGTCTAAACTGTGCCCTAAGGGTAATACCTTTCTATTTATGACTAAAATTCAACATTTTGGTCTAAAATTGTTTAAATATACAATATTGTGTCTAATAACGAATTTGTGCTGCTCTTTATGGGTTAAACTGTGGCTACTACATTTGAATTTCGGTTTTCATTCAAAAAAGTACTGTATGACGTTGCTGGTACTGTGTGATGTCTCACAGCACAGTGTTCAGTAGAAAAGTCTCTCTGTAAAGACACGCCCTGCTCAGATTCAGGAGTTAGCCATAGCATTGTTGATCGTATCTGTGGTAGAGGCTGCCTTCTCCTTACTCACAGTAAAAAAATGGAGTCTATCAGTCATAAAACAAACTGAATTAACTTACACATCCTCTTTGTGCTTCAAGATTTGTTTTAAACTGTGGTTGCTGTGTCAGGTAGTTTCAATCAGGCCAAAATGCACATACGCACACACACATTGTCCCCACGATGTGGGAAAAATGTCCACACAAACACGGCTCCACAG